AGTCCCTGTGGAGAAAGAGAACATGATGATGATGTTTAGAGATGGAGAGAGAGAGAGGAAAAGGAGGAACAGTAAACAAGTTTATCGTTGGTTGCAATATACACAAAATATGAGTATCGATGTGGGAATGATCAGCAAAATCAGCAGACGTTTATAATATCTTAAAATAACATAAAGAAGAAGAAGATAGAATTTTCTAAAAATTATATTTTTGTATATTTGCTGTTAAAGAAAAAGAATATCAGTTTTATTCGCTTGATTAAAGCAAAAAAAATTGTTTCTATTTTTTTCCACTATTATTCAATTGATGAGTTTGATGATTGGCTTGAGGCAAAAAAGACACGGTGTATGCTTGCACTTATCTTTTCTAACGTATGTTTATTCAAATTAGCCCACCCAATTTTCCTGTTCATCGAATCAATACGTATGGTACTTTCTACGGTCCCGAGACATAGTAATGGAACAAGTTAAACAAACATTCCGCTTCTCTCTATGTGTCTTTCTTTCTCTCCCCCTTCTCCGGACAACTTCTCCGCCTTAACCAATTTTTTTTTTTCTATAGGAAATATTTCTTTACTTGGCTTTATCAAACTAACGAAAGAACGAATGGGAATGTTGTTCTTTTTTGAGATTTCATCATTGTGAGAAGTGTGGAGCTTTTGTTCTACCAATTTCAAGTTCTTCGCAAACAATCTGAAGCTAAAGAATGAATTGTCACTGTTGAGAGCAGTGCATTATGAGAACGAAGAAACGAACACTCAACTCTACACATACCTATTTCTATTATATATATATATAAAATGAATGTGTATGTGTACGTATGTGCAATACCCGAGGGTCGATCGGCTGTTGCCTTAAATCAACAACCATTAGAACTAGTTTCTAGTTTATAACCCATCAAATTGATGTGAGAAACAGTTGGACGAAACTGTGAATAAATTGTTCTGTATCATTCCATTGTCAAAACTATGAAAAAATGATAATGATATATAATTTTTACTCATCAATCAAACAGTTGTGATGCTCATTACATTGCAATAAAGACAATTTACTATTCTATAACTTTACTGCTGTTCGGTTCTCATCGATCGATGATTGATGATTAATATATCAATAATCATTAAAATCCTTTTCTTTGTCTTCTTCTAACCAGATTATATTTATTTGAATATAGATTCTTTAAAATAGAAAAGCTCATTATTATATGTTCATTACAAAACTAACTTATTTAACGAACTTCATTTAATATTCATTGCAATATGCTTACATAAGAAATTAAATTGCGAAAAGAAAGTTCTACTTATGTCAATTTCATCATCATGATCATCATGGAATTGAGCAAACATTTGGATTGCTACTGTAGCTGTTGGTGTTGTTGTCATTTCATTTGCACATAGTTAATCGAAAAGTCAAGAGCATTATAAAACAAAGATTGTCTTTCTCCTTTTACAAGTGTCTATAGACGCAATGGATGAATAAATTCTTAATCATAACACTTTCATTATGATTGGTGATCAACATACATCAATATATTGTTATTTTTAGTTTTATATTAAGAAGAAAAGATTTAGTTGTTTTTTTTCATCTATGCTATTTGTCACACTCGACGATAGATATCAAGATTATCTTTAAGCTACAAGACTTTTGATTCATTTCTTGTTTTCTGTATATTTATACATATATATATATTAAAGCGACACATAGAGATAAAGAAGAACAAGAAAAACAGTTGATCTCTTCTTCTTATGACTTTGGCGGCTGCATACTTTCACATAGATCACGAGAAATAGAAGACATACGTAATCATCATCATCATCGTCGTCGTCATGTAAGATATATACATATACCGGATGTGCACTCAATCAAAAAACACTCGAAATTGGGCGTGGATATCTGTCAGTCAATTGATTTGTTTTTTAAGATTATTTCTCTTTAGGCATCATTAGTTCACAGTTTGTTGCTTCCATAGATGATCTGATTTAAATTAAAAAAGAAAATACACAAAAAAAGCAAGGTTTTTTTTTCCATCGGAGGATTTTTTTTTGTCAATTAAAAACATCAAGTTCCCATACATACTTTTCTATTCGTAAAATCAATACAATCTGTGTCGGTCGCATATGTTCAAACGTTCAATTAATAGAAAATTTATTCACTAAAAAGGATGTATGTGATCCTCATCATCGTCAGAAGTTTCTTTTTAAAGATATGTTTATATAGACGCTTTATTCCTTTTTCCTCTTTCGTTCTTATAGCAAATATCAAAGGTAGTATAGTATAAGATGCCATTCACAATTTTGCCAAATTAATTGTTTTCTTAACATTAACGATTCTCGACTACTACTACCATATGTGGGCGTTGTCGGCTCAATTATCTATCACTCAATCGAAATAAGACGATCAATACTGATGTTTTTTCTACCTACCTGTTGTATGTATGAATATATAGTTGAACATGAATAAAATGGTAGTCTCGCTCTCTCATTTTTCCTCGACTGTTTTTTTTTGTATTATTTTTCTTTTTAAAACAACCACAACTATCACTAACTAAGAATAATATTGATGGTGTGAGTGTCTATGTGGTTCTACAAGAGAAGAAGAAAAAAAAGGAAAAAGTATTGCACTCTCTTATGAGTGCTCGAGAGAAAGGCAAAGAAGAGAGGCTGGGATAACAAAGTTGATGGTTGCTTTTGCTATTGCTGCTATGAGACCTCGTCGTTGTCGTCGACGAATGTGTATTTATGTTACAAATCTGTATAAATATGTGCTTTGATCAAAAAAAAATCTAACCCATTAGGGTAAAAAGAAAGAGAAGCAGACAGAAAGAGAAAGTGTGAGAAGCAGAAAGACACAACTAGAACTAAAAGAAGTTTTACTATTCTTATGTATGATTTATTAAAATGTCATTCGAACTGAAATTTCAATTCAAAATATATATATATATATTGATTTGAAGCAATGATTATGTTGGTCAAAAAATTAACTGATAATATGTATTACAAATCAATTCATCCGTGAGTGAAATTTGCCTAGAATCTATTCGTATATTATTTATGGCAATCACTCTTTCAGATCATAATCTTTAATGAAGACGAGTGTATTTTAATATACACATATTTATTGATATTTAACGAAAATGATATATCGACAATATTGGAATCACGAAGAGCGGCTCGTGCCACTTGATTTATTCGTCTTTTTCATCATCTATTTCGATGCCTTGAGGCTGACGAAACAAAAAATGAAACCTTTTGTATAAATCATCTCGGAAAGTGCCAGATGAACACCTTCTGATGATGACGATGGAAATGTGTTTATACAAATATTATTTCAACTACGTCACTGATCTTAAACGGCCGCGTGACGATACTATTCGAAATATACACATGGACACTAATTGTGTCCATTGGGCAAAAATCAGAGATTGATCAAGCGGCGCCGGAAGAACGGATTATCTATGTGTGTTAAAGATCATTTCATTTTAAAATAGGTACGAATTAAAAAAAGAAAAACTTTGAAATTAATTTCTATTGGATAAAATTATTCATTATTTATATCTTCATCCAGATGATTGTTTAGGATGGGATTAAATTTCAAATTTGGAATCAGGAGAAGAAGAAAAAAACACATGGATCATCATTCCAATTAGTATGAACCATGAACGATGACGACTGGTACACACATTGCGTCGTTTCTGCTTCCAGTGTATATAAGCAAGGCAAATAAAAAAACGCTTCTCTACTCGTCCTCCTTACATACTGATGGATCGTACACAGCAGGAATGTCATGCCTTTTTTTTCCTGATTGCTACCAATTCACGTTCCAATGTGCAACAGCAGGAATCTAACATCTTCAATATAACATTGAAAACACATTTTATCATTTAGTGATTATTATAGAACTATACAAATCTAATGATCAATCAATTGGATGATACATTTAGTTGATCTATAAGAAATTTTCTTGAAATTTCTTGATGAATTACAACAATAGAAAAAAAAAAGAAAGTTTCTATTACTATCTATCTTTCTTTTACTACCATATGTGTATGTACATTTTAATTGACTTATCAATAAATCATGTAGCAAACGACGAAAGTGCTTGATAAGCTCTCTTCCTTTCGCACACACATTTTTTTCTCGGGCAGAACAGCCGCGACTTGTCAAAAGCAACAACAACATACATACATACACACATATACATATATTCTTTCTCTCCTGGGCGACGAACGGCAAGAAATAGGATTTGATTGGTCAAAAATTCTGATTCGTGTACGACTACGTAGAGAGAAAAAGAAAAGAATGACATCCTAATAACGATTGGCAGTAGAAAGAATACAATGGAAGAAACATAGAGGAAAAGAGAATGAAAAAAAGAGAAAGAGAGAGAGAAACAGAGAGAAAAAATCGACGCGAGAGCAAACCTACGATCATTGGAGTTGTTATTCTTATTACGACGAAAGAAAAAAATTGCTTGATGAGTAAGCATACGCTAGTAGCAGTCTCTTCGCGCTTCTCATATTATTTTTGATTATCGGGAAAGACTTGTATTTGTTTAACCAAGAAAAAAAAATCTTCGTGTGTGTGTGCTTGTCCAAGGCTGTCAAAAAGAGAGAAAGAGAGCGTAATAAAAACAGTCGATCAAATCGTAATTCTTCTGTTTATTATTACGAAAAACATACGACCGTCTACGCCATCACTATCCTCCTCATCATCCTCGTCATCATCATCATCATCATCACCAACAACAACAACAACATCATCATCAGCCAGCAGCCGATTTTTGTGTTACACACCGAATAGCTTCCTATTTGTTTTACTTGGCTCATACTTGCAATGTTATTATTATTATTTTTGTTTTCTCCTTTGTGTTATTGAAACCACGAGTGATCTCTGTGATACTAATAACATCATCATCAACATAAATATTAATTTGTGTTATTTTTAATGTGTTAATATTCTACCTCTTCAACTTAATAAATACAAATAATATTAAAACAACAAATGACAAATCCAAGTTCACCACCAATTGCTTCATCAACTAATAATAATTCAACAACATCAACAATCCCAGCAGCTAGTTTTGCAAATTATTATGATGCAGCAGCAGCCGCTGCTGCCGCTGCTTACTATCCACCACTACCTCCATCATCAGCAACCAATCGATTAGTACAACAATCATCTGCATCTGTACAATCCTATGGTGTTCATCAAACAAATCCTTATACAGGTTATGCTGATGCATATCATTTACTATCACGTCCACCAGCTGCCTATCCTTATACTATATCATCAGTTAATTCAAAAGAATTAGCTAAACCAGCAATGAGTTATATAGCACTTATAACAGCGGCTATTCAAAATAGTCCCGATCATAAATGTACTTTAAATGGTATTTATCAATATATCATGGACCAATATCCAGTAAGTTTGATAAAAGAAATTATAATGAAAAAAAAAAAAAGCTTTTTTTATATTTTATTTTAGTATTATCGAGAAAATAAACAAGGTTGGCAAAATTCAATTCGACATAATTTATCATTAAACGATTGTTTTGTTAAAGTTTCACGAGATGATAAACGACCAGGTTTGTTTTATATTATAAAATAAAAATCTTTATTCATCTATTTTATTTTATTTTTTTAAATAGGCAAAGGATCTTATTGGATGTTACATCCTGAATCACATAATATGTTTGATAATGGTTCATTTTTACGACGACGTCGTCGTTTTAAACAAGAAGCAGCAAATCTTCATCGAAATCAACAATCGGGTGGTGGTGGAAGACAACGAGGTCAATTAAATCATCGAAATTCACCTAATTTAATCAGTCCATCATCAACAACAAATAATACTCTTGAACCAAGAACTAATGGTACAAAATCGAATCGTTCTCGAAATCTAGGATCAAATTCAGCTATTAAAGAATCAATAACTGATGATACAGATTGTTCAGAATCACCAAGAAAGGTATAAAAAAATATTTTTTTTATCAAGCCATCTCTTCATTTCTTTCTTTTTTTTATTTATTAAAATTTAGAAACATGCTGGTGGATATACAACTCCTAAAATGGAACCGGTGGAAGCTAGTGAATCGGGTGATCATCTTTCAACATATGGTTTACCATCATCATCAAAAACTCCACCAATGTCAAATTCATTACAATCAGCAATACCAAATTTTAATTTTATTGATCCAATGACAATGGCAGCTGTTATTTATGAACAAACTGGTGGTACATCATCAACAACATCAAATTCATCCAATTCATCATCAACATCATCAACTAATTTTCGTTGTACAGATTCATTACCAACACCAAGTTCAGTTTCATTAGCTGCTGCATATGCAGCTGCATCTTCGAATTATCCATCATCATCATCATTAAATGGAAATAATAAAACCAATCATCTTCATCCTCATCATCATATTCACAATGGTAATAATACTCATCATCACAATAGTCAACATCTTTATTCACCAAATAATGATTATGTTTCTTCTTCTGTGACTGCATCAAACGGTTATTGGCCTTATTCAACTCAACCATATTTTCCTAGCACAACAAGACAGTATATGGTAACTCAACCACCTTCATCATGTCCCATAACACCAACAGGAGTGTCTGACACATCTTCATCATCTTCCCAACAAGATTTATCTTATCATACACATGGATCATATCCACATATGCAAAAAATGGTTGGAAATTATCCAACTAGTTATGAATTTTATCAACAACATAATACTAAATACTGTTAAATATTCTTCTTCTTCTTTTTTGTTTTGTTCTTCTTTTTTTCTCTTCGTCTTCGTCTTTGTCTTCATCTTCTTCTTCTTTTCAAATGTAGATAGTGTTTGTGCGTGTGTGTGTTTATCAACGATCTCACTGGCATATTTCATCCTTTATTTTCAAAATGCGCTCCAATTTTTTTGCTTTGTGATTATTGTGTTTGTGCGCGCGTGTATATGAATCAATAAGCAAAGACATAGGCATTTTCAAAAATTTAATTCAAATATTTCTTGTTTTTTCTTCTATACATTACAATTTGTTTTTAAATGCAAAAAAAAAATAATGATCAATGTTGTAAACAATGAATGACAAAAAAGAAATGAATGAAAATAGATTATCTTTGTAGCAAAAAAATTTGAGAATAGAAATGTGTATGTGAAATCGCATACAAATAAAATGTTTATAAATAACAAGATCTTTTTCTTTTTGTATATTTTATAGAGACCTTCTGAAAACGCAGATGTCAGACGTGATAAATCTGACACTGAGAAATTGATTCTTTAAGAATCAGATTGTTAATATAAATAAATATTTATGTAAATAGTCTATTGACTGTTATCAGTGATACATTATTGTCTGCCTGTAGGAGATCAACTTTACTATGATAGCAGATGAGTTTGTCTCGATACTTCGAAAATGATAACACTTAGAAACATTTGAATAAATATCAGATACGACAGTGAATATGTATCGGTCTCTAATTCATAGAAAAGATTTTTGCTGATACCAAATGTTCTTCATGATTGATTATTAAAAATACACATGATTTCATAAGCTTATTTCTATATGTGCATCTTTGGTTACATATTTAGTATATATAAGAAGCATTGTAATTAAATATATTATTTCGTTATTTATATATATATAATTTATAGGAAGTAGAAGATAAACTAAATAAAAAGAAATGATATATTTTGATAACTGTAAATAATCAAAACATGTAGTAAATTTGATAAAAATAAATTATAATTTAATCTTTTATATTACAATCAGAAAATATAAAAATCGTTCAATATATTCTTTGTAAAACTATTAAAATACAAAAATCTTGATAAATATCTACTCAAAGAATTTAATATTTCATATACATATGTAAGCATGATTATATAATAATTTCTGTTTTAACATATAATATAGTAATGACAAAAACACATAATAGATCGAATGGAAAAATCATTGTTTATAGATAAATTCTAATATCTTTTAGAAAATGTTGATCTCGTAAATTAGTATTATCAAACAAGTATAATCTTAATCATTGATCGACACTAAATTTTGTTTTTTTCAAAATAAATATTATCAATATGATTATCTTTTTAAATATTATATCGATATTTTTTATATGCAAATAGTTAAGTCATATTTATAATAATTTTTTGAGAATACTATTCGATAAATCAAGACCATTACTCCTCAAAAACTTCCAAATTGAGATAAATATATGGAAAGATAGCCTGGTATATGATCTTTCATAAACAATAAAAAATTTTCTTTAGTTTGCAAGTTTTATATCTTTTGCCCAAGTTTATTTCACATATTTGAAAGAGCGCGTCGCAACGCAGGGCACCATTACAGAGTCCTTTTTTAGTAAATTAAGTTTTATTTTTCATTATAAATTTTTGGCGCTTTGCTTGAATTATTGAACTTGTAATTCCCTTTTTCCACTACAAAAGTGAGAATTAAAGAAAAAGAACTTATCCTTGTTTGGTTCATATTCCTGTCAAATGCCATGTTACAGCTCTGAAAATTAACTAAAAAGCCACAAATATTCAAATAGATCCAAAAACGCGCTCAAATATCGATTATTATTTGCTATTAATACTAGTTTTCAATGACAGAAATATTTATAGTTATAATACTAAAAATAGATGTTTCATTAAATAAGCTATTCTCGACTGAAACAATTTTACAATATTTATATTCAACGTTTTTTTTATTCCATTGTTGTTGCCAAAAAAGACTTGGCGATATTATTTGGTATGCTTTGAAAAGACCGAAAGAAAAAATATCGAAAATGATAATAATACAGGTTATGCACATACTAATGACATAAAAGTACAAAATATGTCTTGCTACAGCATGCTCGGAACAGTATTGGTGCAGGTGGGAGTGATTGAAAGCACTTTCGATATTTTTCACAGTAAATCTATTATTTTATCGTGTGAAATATTTGTTCTAACTATAGAACATAAAAATCGATAGTTGTTATTTTCATAATAATTTGAAATTCGAATAAATATGACTGGTATGATAATTATCATCAACATTACTATTTCCAATTAATTATTGATAATGAGTTTTTTATTATTTTTGTTTTTCTCGTGTATAATTAGGACGCTTTGCCATATTGAATATACCAAATATAAAAAAAATTATTAAATATAAACAGATATTTAAAAATTCTTTCTATAATTAATCAACTGTATCGAATAAAAATTTTGTTTGAATCTTCGATAGTACCAACTGTTATACACAGTGCATTAAACAAAATGAATAATAACGTTTCGCAGCATTTGACAAACTAATTTAGTATATTATATTCTTTTATGAATATTCACATAAAAAGAAAATCTTAACATTTGATAAGAAACGTAATTATTGAAAAAAATTAAATGTGTAAATTGTATACAATACAATGCAAGCAAATATATTGTTTATAATATATTTTTTTACAGATATAGTTAATAATTCAAATTCATCTCGAATGCAAAAAAAAGAAAAAAACTTTTACATTTTCATTGATGTTCTTCTATATTTGATCGTATCGATGTTAAATTGATCTGCATTATATCGGTCATTCAAAATTCGATATTATTGATGATGGCTATGGTGTGACTTCGTATTATGTGCGTTCCCTCTTATAGTCCAATGGACAAAGAGACAAAAATTGGTGAAGCGTATCGTTCGTCATCAACGTTATAGCGCATCTTTCTCTCATGGACAATTTTTTTCTTTTCTTCTATATTATACTGATCATTAACCACTCTCGTATGACTACATGTGCATTTTATTCTTAGATTAGCAACTACTACAATAAAATATAGAATGAACAGGTCAGTTTAAAAAGCAAAAAATAAAATAAAATAAGGAGAAGACTTTTTAGTAATAAAATATGTGCATATATGATTTTATATCAGTTTCTTTTTTTTTCATGATAGTTTATCATTTTCAACAAGGGACAATACATACATACATACGTATGTTCTAGTCTGTTGCTAATGTGAATAACTTTATACAACGAGCAGCTGTCGCATACGGCTCTACAAAATCTGCTCTGAACTCAGAAGGACATTAAAAGATGAAATTATAAGAAAAAAAAAGAAGAAAACGAAACGTATGAAAGAATACGAGATTGTAGCTCGCTTGATTGCGCAAAAAAAACCGACCAGACACTGAAAGAGTAAAAAATTGAACATAAACGATGACCCCAAGGTAACAGATGGTCTTTTTTCATGAGACAAAGAAATCGAAAGAAAGAAATAGAGAGAGAGAGAAAGAAATAGAAAAAGTATTTTATCATTTAATTATCAATCAAATTCGATTGTCGTTTTAGGATTCAAATAAAAAATAATATAAAGCAATAGAAAGACAAAAAAAGAAAAGAAAAACAGATCACCATCATTTATTCATATTCATCGATTTATTTTTTTTTGTATCGTGTCACAGTTGTGTGTGTGGATATTGGTCTTTCTTTTGAATTGATTTTTTGTCGTTTGACACCATTTGTTATTCTTTTGATTTTCTTTTTCTTTTTTTTCAATTTTCCCTAAAAAATATTGTATCTCTTCCTTCCACCCTTATATATCTCTTATTTCTTCATTGCCTTCGAAACTGACTATTACGACGCTATTAAACCTGAATTGTAAACGGATTCGCACGCATTCGCCGACCACGTTGTTGTCTGCAATGACGTCGTCATCGCCTTTACTGCCGTCGACAACAGCCGTGGTACCGATAGCGAATGTCGAAACAAATACGACGACGAAAAAACAATATTTATGTTTATTTTCTGTTATTACTGCTGGATTATTAGATGATGATTTAGGTTCTGATGAGCAGGAAATTACTGAAATGATCAATCTTGTTATCGATGTAGATCAAAAACGGGTATGATTAGTTATCTTATGTTTTTGTGTTTAAATATATTTTAATAGATGGTTGCTCTGCATCGACAATATATACGACCATTACATATAGACAATTTAACTGATGAATCAAAAGAAGCAAGTGGAGTTGATGAAAATTTATTATTTACATCAGACATTGATATCGAAGATGCATTAAGAAAAGTATGTTTCTTAAAAATTATTTTAATTATTCAAATGTTTTTTTTTTTCATTATAGTTTGATACATTTTTACGTAGTCAGTATTTACATCCAGATTTTAATGTTAATTTTACATTTGTTTGTGAGAATTGTCTTTATTTACGTCAATGTATTCATCCAGAAAGTATTAAAAAAGGAACTATGCCTTTACCAAGTTATTATTGGTCATATTTTGATCTGAGACATGAATTTGAACATATGTACACAACAACTGAATGTCATAATATAAAAGAAATGCTTGAAAGTAATTTTATAAATACTAACCTTGATAATAAGTTTTGCCAAAATGATACAAAGCTTATATTGAAATATGATATTGATTTAATTCGAATACTACTACTACTAACTTTCTTTTTTTTTCTATTTTTTAAGAATTGTCAATTTCTTCAGTTGATGAAACAGATTATTGTATGCGTCATGTTAGGAACATGGAATTAATTATTTATCAAATGTTGAATGATGGTAATTTATATTTCAACTGGAAAAAACAGGAATCTAATTTTATTTTAATTATTTATAGGACATCGTTTCGAAAAACCAGAATATATCATGACTAACTTACAACAAGGCCTATGGTAAATTATTAGAATTTATAAGATATAATTATGTCTGTTTTTTTAGTTCATTGGAAGATAATATTGAAGAAAGTACAGTTGTTCGAGCACGTGGTTTACCATGGCAATGTACTGATCAAGATGTAGCTAAATTCTTTCGAGGTCTTGATATTGAAAAGTAAGTAATACTGATTATTAAATAATACTTCAAGAGCTAATTCTCATAATATGCGACTTCCTATCATTGACATACAGCTAGCAGGAATTCATAAGAAACCTATTCTAAGTTTTATATATTTTTAGCTTAGCTTCTGATCCTAAAATTATCTATATGATTATCACTAATCAGGATTTACTGAATTGTATGTGAACGCTATCAGAATCCTTCAACAAAAGCTTATTTATCTAAATAGAAGGACTTTCTTAACTTTAATGTAGAAATTCAGATTTCGTTTTTAGAATATTCTATTTGATATTTAATATAGAATCAAGTAATCTATTGTATTTTTGAGCTGATTTATGCTATAATACATTTATAATATCATTCTATGATCAATAATTAATTATACTTTTTCTTCCCAAGTGAGTTCGTGTTATGCATGCGACTTTTTACTTTGTCTGTTCAATAAGTAAATCATATGACAAATATTCGTACTTAAAATGCATAAATAAGCAACAGAATCAGGAACAAGGTCAAAAAAGCATGCTCACCCTTAAGTAGTTATTATAACAAAGAAGTGTTCACATTATAGAGAGTTATTTTTATCAAAAAAAAAAGAAAACGTTTCGTCGAACTTGAGACTATTTATAATACGAAGGTGTTCACTAGTAAAGATTTTATTGTATTCGATATTTTATGGAATTCGAGACTATAAAAGTTTGATATTTTCAAAAGAGTTTTAGTATCGATCAGTCATAGATTTATTATTTCGGAAGACGAAAAAAAATCTGTTAAAACACATTATTATTACAGTTTTTGAAAAGTATGAGCTGTAATATTTTATCTATACTATGACAACATAGATGAAAAATAATGAAAGATGTATTTTGTTTTTCATTAATATATGATCACAAAGTAACATGATCGTATTTCAATATTAAATTGGCCTACTAGTCTTTTCTTTTATATTAGAGTATGATATGAATTATTTATTTATCTTTATATTATATAATGAATTGATTCTGTCTATTCATATTTTTTATTTTATTAATTTTTGGCAATTAATATAAACGGAAATTTATAATTATCAATTAATTTTTATAGGGAAAAATATCATTAAAAACTGATATATGTATGAATAATTATTTCATTATGACTCTTTGATAAATAATACTTAAAATTGAAATATTCGTTTATCTATAATAAAAAATAAAATTGTATTTTTATATAATTATAGGGGTGGAGTTGCCTTGTGTCTTAGTAGTCAAGGCCGTCGTAATGGAGAAGCATTAGTTCGTTTTGTTACAGCTGAACATCGAGAATTAGCACTTCGTCGACATAAACATCATATTGGCCAACGTTATATTGAAGTATATAAAGCATCAGGACGCGATTTTCTTAATGTTGCTGGAGGTAAATATGTATTTAATTTTCTTCTCTCTTTATCCATTTATTTAATCGACTTCTCGTCTTTTTTTTTTTACAAAACTATGTGAAATTCATTTCTCAGGTATCACTACCATTTTCAAATGCTTTCAGTCAAGTGCTTCACACATGCACAGACACATACATAATAACGAAAGAATAAAACGAGTAGAAGAAGAAGAAAAAAGAGCTTCCTCTTGTGAAAGCAAATATTATTTATTTGTTGTTGTTGTTGGCTTAAACTACAGATCATCTGATATGTCATTTTACTATATACATGAAAGAAGAAGAAAACGGATTCATAGTTTATTTGATGGCCAGTATTCTTATTCTACTTTGAGCTTCCGGGGGGATCGAATTCGTTCTATTTGACAAAAGGTCGTCGATCATTAGTGAATGACAACATTTCGATCTTAGTAGGTTATGCAAATAAGAAAGTAAACGAGATAAGAAAAAGATAGAGGGAGAGAGAGAAAGTTGACGAACTTCTATATTTATTTGAGGATTTAAAAGATTCACTTGCGAATAAATAACTACTATATACGAAAGAAAGACAGAATAAAAAATAGAAATAGACAGAGAAAAGTAAAAGAAAAGAATGAACGATTGTAGCGCATATCATTATCAAATTGCGCTCAACTCATGTCTATGTCTATATGTCTGATGTCTCGATAAACAGAAAAAAATACATGTATCAGACATCGATACAGATGAGTTTTGTCAAAGAAAAATATTGAAAGAAACATAAGGACTAAGCTAATCTCTTTTATTTTGTTGTCGATCATCGCGTATCTATATCGAAGGTAAATAATTAAAAGTTTCTTCGATGTATAGATGTTCTTTTGCTAATATCATTATCGTTGTCCCATTATGATCATCATCACAAATAGAAGGACAAAAACAGAAAAAAAAAGAAAGAGATTGAAAGGACAATAATGAAATAGACTCGTTTTCTTATTCTTCTTTTTCCTTTATCGAAAAGAAGAAGACGAGAAAAAGAGAGAGAAGGGGAGAGGGAGAGAGAGAGAGAGGGAGAATGCACACTTGTCAGTCATCATGTATGTGTGTTCAAGCTACTAATATATCTGTCAACCGAACGACAACAACGAAAATTTATCGTTCTTACTACTACTGTTGATGCTTGTCAGACGTGTTAAATACTTTACTACTTCGATCCGATGTTCTTTCTTCATCACTTATTCTCTCTTTTTCTCTAATCGAAAGTAGTGGTAAATAATTGACGCCGGTAAGGTGTCCCTCTCGCATTCTCTTTCTTAAACGTTGTGCACAAAAAAAAAGAAGAAAAGAAATCACGTCACACATAAACACGCGCAACAAATTCTCTAAGGTTTTACTCTGCTCACATATACACTCACACACAAACACTACATTGTTCAATGTGAAATCTTTCGTATATATATATACACCTACCAATGGGCAATACAAAAGGCGTGTCTTACAATGGCAATTTATATTATCATTATTTGAATTATCTAAAAAGTTCGTATTTTAAATTTCGTTTCTCTCTT